TGTTCACTGTTGCTAAGGAGAGAGGAGATCTCTGATTTTTCTACTTTATAGGCAAGGTGACAGTTAATAACAAAGCTCCCTATTTATCATAGTAACTATCATTTTCTGAGGACCTGAGCAATTGCAGATATATCAATTACCTCCTTTATTTCTCAGAACACTCCAATGGGATAGGTACTGTGATCGGCTCAATTTTAAATAACATAAAAACAAAGTTTAGACAACTTAACTAACTTGTCCAAGGCCACAGAGCTAGCAAATGCCCTCAGTTGGATTTGAACCAGGTAGTTGAACCTAGAACATATACAGCAACTAAGCATTACTGCCCCATCCATTGTCTACCAGAAACTATGAACATGTAAGATACTGAGTTAGTTGTAATATTTTCGTTTGTAAGGGAAATAGATGTCTTCAATTTGAATGGATTAACAGGACTAAAACTACAGAGAAAAATATGAATGTGAAAAATGGGGAAAAGTCTCACCACTGCATGGTATGCCTGGAATACCATACAGGATGTCGACCCAGGATAACACAGTACCTCCTCCAAGAAGCACGTGCCTTCTCTTCTTGTGCTTAGCTATTGGGGTAAGTTAGAAAATGTGTCTGTTCTTACTGACCTAAGGCAATTAACCTCTTTTCTTTCCTTTCTACTGGCCTCATTACTGCAGCTTATTCATGATTTCCAAGACTGTCCTTTCTATGTTTCTCAGCTTCTTTTCCTGGCCACTAACTGCTGAGGCTCCACATGGTATTTCATAAGTAAGATAACCAAGTCAAATCTTTGTTATTTCACACAGAACATTTTTATTGGCATGGTTCTCCTGGAAGGCCACATGGTGACCACTGGCCAGTCTAGAGAGGGCAGTCTTAGACCTTAGCACATTCATTTCTCATCAAACCTACTGTGGCCAGTAAATCCTGGACACATGGTCATATTTTCTTGGTGGAAACACTTATGCATTGTGAACTTTCACCATTACAAGCTCTTCTGCAATATTGTTCTTTACAGATCATGCTCATTCTTTTGGAATAGTAATACAGAAGGTAATGTGTACATATGTTTTGTTTTTTCTGCTATTCTTATAGGGTAAGATTAGGATAAGCCAGTCATTTTCCAAAAACCTCGAGAATTGAAAGTATGCTGGTTGGTTGTTAGAGATTATACATAATATGCCTTGATCATATTTCTAATCATTGTGGAACCTGTTATTTACAGCATCTGGTACAATGTCATCTCTTTCCAGATTTGGGAACATGTTGGAACACAATAAATTATCATATTTTATAACCATGCAACCTAACTTCTAGTTACCATCTTAGCACATCCTTGGACATGACAGCTAATCATATTAAATTTTCCAGGTCACCTCTAATCTTATAACATCTCTCCCTTCTTGTCACAGGATTAGATCAAATATTAATTGAAAAATATTACCACAATATCAACATGATTAGCTACACCAAACTTCTGTGTACATATGGGAAAGTTTATATAAAGTCAGCAGAGCAAATAGACTCCTGAATATGTAAGTCTGTTTTTTCTAAAGTCCACTTCCAACATTCAATTCCAACAGTTAGTGTCTCTACCTTTTCTAATATTGTGAATATCTTTCACTATTAACGTGAGTTCCCCTTAACTTCCTTTTAATGTCATTTCAATACATTTAACATTGAATTTGTAGCTCTACATTTTATTTTATCCTGAGAGTGTGTCAACCTCTCTTGGAAAGACGTATATGTTACAAATACTAAATTTCAGTAGAGACTTTGCTTACAGTAGAGTGCTTTTTCTGTCAGTAGTAATCAGAATCAGCTGGAAGCAAAGACTTGCACACTAACCTCTTTCAGAAACTGAAAGAACAAAGTACATGCTGGTTTCCAATACTGGTGGTGATGGAATTTACAAAATCATTTATTTTGTGTACGACAAGAGTTAACCTGTCCTAAAGGTAATATGATTACTTTGTACTATCTTAAAAATAGTCTTACAATATTCATGAGTATTGTGTCAAATGCTGGAAACAGTCACCATATATGAGGTTACAAAAAGGTATAGTATAAAGTGTATGAGCTTTAAACACAGCCAGATCTGAGTTTGAATCATAGGTTCATTACTGTGTGCCCTTGGCCCAGTTACGTATGCTCTCTCAGATTCCAGCTTTTCTTCTGGAAAATGAGGGCAAATAACATCATGTTAACATTTCAACTTTCATATGTTTTTATATTTATCATTTATTCATATATAAAAAGTTTATAACTCAGCTGAATTGAGGAAGCATATGAGCTAGATCAGATACTGCCTATCTCTAGTGTCTTATTGAACATATTACTTACTGAGGAGCAAGTTATAGAACTTGAAGCAAGTTTTGTAAAGTTTTAAAAGATTACTTTATTTAAATTTTGAGACTTCCTATTCTAAGTGAGGTTATCCTATAAGATGTTTTCCAATCTCACAGAAGAAATAAACTACCCTCAATCAAATGAAAAATGGAATTCAATATAGATTAAGGAGGCAAATGCTAAGTAAAATAAATTGCTACTAATTCTCAATTGAACCCAAGATTTTCTCTATCCTCTTTTTTTTTTTTTTTTTTTTTGAGACAGAGTCTCGCTTAGTCGCCCAGGCTGGAGTGCAGTGGCGCGATGTTGGCTCACTGCAAGCTCCGCCTCCCGGGTTCACGCCATTCTCCTGCCTCAGCCTCCCGAGTAGCTGGGACTACAGGCGCCCGCCGCCTCGCCCGGCTAATTTTTTGCATTTTTAGTAGAGATGGGGTTTCACCGTGTTAGCCAGGATGGTCTCGATCTCCTGACCTCGTGATCCACCCGCCTCGGCCTCCCAAAGTGCTGGGATTACAGGCGTGAGCCACCGCGCCCGGCCAGATTTTCTCTATCCTCTTATCAGTATATTGCAAATTCAGACAACTATGATAACGGTAAAACTCCTTTAATCAATTGTATTTTTATTTTTAAAAAAATTAAATTTCTATTTTAAGTTCAGGGGTACCTACGGTGGTTTGTTATGTAGGGAAACTTGTGCATTGGGGATTTGTTATGTTTTGAATGAGAACTGCAATTCCCTCAATTTTTAAACGTAGGTATTTCATTAGACAGTAAACACAACCTTCGACGGACGTACTCTGGTCAGACACTTCAGTGGTCAATACGTCCAATAAAAAGTTCATTGGGTCTGATGCTGCCATCAATTCTGAAGCTGGCACAAGGACAGAGATGTTTTCAGCGACATGAAAGTTCACTAGTAGCAAGTGTGTGCCCCTGTTTGGTTAATGTTGCCTCTTTCTGTTTATCAAGTTTGCTTAAAAGAAAATAAGAAGCCAAAGACCCAGTGAGAGTCACTGTAGTCAACACATTCTTCTCTCAATTATCTTTAATTCTATTGAGAAATAATCTCCCCAGGGAAAAGAGATAGAAGTCTCAGAACAAGAGAAGTAGATAAATGTCTTCAGGCTTTAGCTACAAACATCCTGGTAACCAAGTACACATCAGCCTTTGGGAACCTTGAAAATGGTTTACTCCTCTGGAAGAAGCAGTAACATCAACATCAGACGGAAAAGCTCTCCAGAGAATTTCAGAATGATACCCAATTATTAGAAAGTGTTCTAACATCTTTATAAAATGTCCCGTCTCAAGAGATCCATAGAAGAAAAGGGGAGTCAGCACTTCAGGAAATACGAGTGCTCACTCTAAAAAGCACATCTGAGATACCATTATAAATCTTTATACAAAGCAGCTAGATATTTACATTTTGCTTTAACAATAGAAATTAATTGTTAAAAATCAATTTGTTTCAGTATTATAATATGCGATATTTTAAATAATGTTTATTTCATTATTTGAAAACTTTTATAGTATGTCATACAATATCAAGATAAGTGATTGCTATTCTTCAGTATTTAGAGTGCAGACTAATAGATCACATAATTATAGTGATACAATTATTTTATTACTCTTAATTACATAGAAATTTATCATAATGTGGAGTAAAACCATCAGGCTATATTTACATGAGCTTAGTAAGGTAGAAAAGAAAAAGTTCAGGTAATTAAACTTTGGAAAAAACGTTGCTTACCATATCTTTCTAGATATTTTTAACAAACTTAAGAGAAAATGGGTATAAAAGAATTCATATGGAGTGGTTTAATCTGAATTACCTGGATAATTGCCCTAAATGATATAGAAAATGCAAGCTTAACTTCAGTTCATTATATCTTAACAATAAAAATGAAATGAAATATAAAGAAGAATTTTTTATAAACACATAACTTTAATCTCTTATTGAAGAATTCTTTCAAAAACAAGCATTTTAGAAAGCACTTAATTTTCCTTTGCTTTCTTTTTTATTAATTCATCACATAAAAGAAATCCACTTCTCTTGAATAAGAACTATAAATTATATGAATGGTATAATAAGTCTTCTAGGTTCATTTTTCTTAATACTTGCAACAGAAACTATAACATTTAAGTTTTAAGGTCCACACAGATACTACTAAAATATTCAGGGATTTAGTCCTAAATTCTTAAACCAAAAGGGAGCTCAGGAATATTGCTAAAGTAGAAAGCTGCACAAAATCTCAACTCTCATTTGCAAATTTTCTTTCCATCTGATTTAACTTTGAAGGCTTCAGACTCAGATTTTACTATATGATATCAACAAACTACTTCAATCAAAATCAATTTACCTTGGCAAGGCATAATCCTCCAAATAGATTATTTAAAAGGTAAAATGAGAAATTAACTATCTTTTCATGTTCCCTTTTCTTTTCTCTTGATACAAGGCAGAATGAATATGTATCAAAAGAAACTGCCCTGAGATATCATTATCTCCAACGCCGTTTTCACTCTAGGACACTTGCTTATAAACTAAGCTTTTCCTGACACAAACAGTCACTTGCTGCAGTGCAGAATGTCAGTTTAGTCAGTTAGAACTTTCAATGCCGAAATTCAGTGCCATTCAGTCACCCAGATAAAGCAGCACTTACCTTAATTGAAATTTTCTCTGTGAACGAGGTGAGAAATCCGTCAAATCAACCGTGAATGGGGTGGGGAGATCGAAGTTTTCAATCAACACCCTTCAAGTAGCTGCATCCTGTGCTCCTTTTCCGTGTTAGGTTGAGCTCCTCACTGTCTAAGGAGAGAAAAAGATCAGCTGAAATCCTCCGAGGTTCCCAGTGAGTAAATGAGGACTAGGCGATGTTTCTGAACGGGAGATTCTCCGTGAGCGTGCTCCGTTTGGAGGCTCCCTAACTGCTGTGATAGACTCCTGGCAGGTCCCTGGAGCCAGGCGCTAATCATTGACCTGATTAGCAGGAACGCTCCGGGTGCGCAGGCAACACACGCCGAGGGTTGGTGGGTCTCCTGGAAACTGGAAAAGGCACCAAAGCCACTTGGGAATCTTGTCTTTTCCAGCCTAATGGATGAACTACAACTATGATTATAATTTGCAAGGGGATTAGCCGCCGTGCTAGCCATCGCAGGACTTAAACAAATGTGCTCTCTCCTGCTGTTTTTCAAGGTGCCTTCGTGTGAGATATTAGGTACAGTGAAACAATTAATAGACTGATACAGCTGATTGTTACGACAAGCTTAAAGCTGAAAAAATGTTTAAAGCGATGTGATCAAAGAGAAAGCTGCACTTGTCTCTGCTCCTCGCCTGCTACATACTTCAACCTTTGTCGAAGTAAAATGAATTTAAAGGTTTATTACAGCCCTCCAGAGTGCAACTCTCTGAATTTATAAAAAGGAAGTATTCATACTAAATAAGCATATTTGGCAGATTGCTACAGACACAACACTCAAACCACGGCGTGAACAGAGCCTTGCTTGTGTAGTTTTCCAAACGGCATTTTCAATTAGCATTACACTTGCAAAAAATGTTTGCATCGTACCATTAACCAGAGTAACGTAGGAGAGTACAACATTACATCTAACCGAATCATCTCTTTGATTATCTGTTGGAATACTGATTTATTAAAACAAAAACAAGCAAGCATATGAGAGGATCCAAAATATCAAACAACTTTTTAAACGTAGTTATGTGCCGTTACCAACCTGCTGGTCCCCATCCGTCATCCGCTCTTTCTGCCACTGACCACCTTCTCAGCACTTCCTCATCAAGTTCCTAGTTCCCTGAAGAGATCTAATTCTCTGGAAAAGGTCACATAACTGAATGCCAAATCCCCAAATGGTTAATTTTTGACAGCTCTCACTTTTGCAGGAGAAAATTATGCAAATAACATAAAAAGAACAGATGAAAAAAGTCATTTGCATGTCTTGAGGGTGAGAAAATTCTCATTGCCAGAGAGAAAGCTGACGACTGTCCTCTCACAATGATCCTGAGTGATATGTTCAGCACTTCTGTTTTTTTCCAAGTAGGTCTCACTTGGGACATATGGCGTTCCCTTGATGTGTGTGTGTGTGCGTGTGTGTGTGTGGGTGCGTGTGCTTGCGTGTGTGAGAGAGGGGAAGAGAGAGAGCTATATCTACATTGTGATATTTATATATATATCTCTGAGAAAACCCTCAAATTTCAGTAGGCGAATGCACTAAGCATAAATAATAGAGAATCCGTTTGCCTTATACATTCCCAAATATATTTTTAAAGTATCTCATTAAAATACAAGCTCTTGGTGAAACTTTTCGGACAAAGTAAAACTTCAGGGTAACTGAGTTGCTGTTACTAAGGCAGGTATTCATCCTACTCTGAAAACGGAGATGGCCCTGAAGAAGCCCCAGGAGGTGGGGCTGTAACCTCCCATGCAGAGGTCTCTTGCTCCCTCAGCTGGTGGAGGGTGACAGCTGAATGTGAAGAAACCCAGTCAACCATTTCAAGAGAGGGAGTACAATTTTTGCTGCTATTAAGCAGGAAACCCATTATCCAATTTTAGACTGGTATGAGAGTGTTACAGTAGAAAAGAGGCTGCTTAAATCGAAGTAAATGCATCTTGAGCATAAATTGTAAAAATAAGAAAATGTAACTGCTAATTTCTCCTGAGAGGGTCCCAACTAGTCTTTAACACAGTACTTGTAAATAACAGTGGGGTAGATTCCAGGGCTCTAATGTGTAGTTGGTCATGCAATTAAAGCACTCCGTCTCTCATATTGGCCTAAGTCCCATTCTGAGGATCTTAAATAGTGAACTATTTTTAAAACTTATTAAAACATCAAGACAGTGCTTATTTTTCTGAACCCTGCCAACCTACAATCATCATCACCAACTAAAACAGGTACACACAAAACTTTGTGCTATAGTAGATCGGTGCTATCTGGAAACTCCAACTCCGTGAAGGTTGCACTGATGACACTTCCAAATAATCAGTCTCTCTTTTCTCATAAAATCCAGGGGTCTTTCAAATCTCTGAATGGTTTCCAAAGAGAGTACAATGACTCTTTAGTAGTTTTTTTTTTTTTTTTTTAACCTATGTTGGAGCACTAATTGATTTTATGTGAAACTACACACATGAAGAACAAAGCAAAATAAGACCATTTTGTTGGAGGAGTGAGGGGAGACTGTAGTCACATGAAAATAACGGGTACTGTCTATGACATGCTTGCTATGAGGCAGGTGACTGGCATGCACTTCAGCTGTAGCTATCCATGAATGCCTTAATCCAATTCGGTTAAGCAGGCATTATAATATTTTATTTTTTTAATGAATTAAGTTAGGGCTCTGAGAAGTTAACCAAATTTACCAAAGTTGCATAGCCAGTACAGAATAAATCCCACAACTAAAATTCAGGTTACTGTAACTATAAAGTTAACAAATATTTGGAAGTTTCCAAATGTTAAAACTGATCAAAACCCCTACTTCCAACAGAATGGGCAAATTGCCTAGTTTTTATGACTCACAAACATCATTTTTGCATATTTAAAAACCATTTTATAACTAATAAAGTATTGTATTGCAACAGTTCTGCTATTAAAAGTTATGTATGATTTAGCAGAAAAATAAAATTCACAAAAAAATCTTTAGGCTAAAAAATAGATTCAATCCAGAGCTTCCAAATAAATAATTCCATTAGCACAAATTACTCAATTTCAAATTTTTAAAAATCCCTTCTGCAATTCATTTGCTCTCCCACTTAAACACAGTAATGATTGCTTTTTAAAACAAGAAAATAGCTCCACTCTAAGTATATGAATGTCTCAAGAATATTCACAAAAATATATTAGGCCAAAATTATGATGATTTTTACTATCCTAGTTCTCCAAGTGGCATAATGTAATAGCAAAACTCAAATGTACTATGGAGCTAAAAAGTTTATCTCTGGTTTGTTCATGCTTTGTCTACAGGTTTCTTAAAAGTCACGTGAATCCCACCATTTCATATGGTTCTTTGAAATTCTCAGACGCATCCATAACTTTACAGAGAAGCATTGTGACCAGTCTTTTAAGATGTTTAATAAACGTTCCATCTAAAAATAAATGATGATAACACAAACTAATGCAACATTTAAACTTTGCCAAGAACTTATTCTCTCATTTGATTCTTATGGGAATCCTGTGAAATAGGTTACTCTCAGTATTTTTCTCATATTTTAGTGATGAGAAATAAAAAGAGTAAGTGATTATCCTTTGGTGTTCAATAGTGGAAAACCTAATGTCTTCCTTTTCAGATAAGTCCTATTGCTCCCCACTATGTCGAACAAATATGTTTATCTGAGTCATCCTGTTGGCAAAAAGGATCTTAAGTGGATATATAAACAGAAGTCACTCTTTCTTCATTTACTTAGGTTTGTCCCAAACAGTGTAAATTGTGATTGTGATTTACTGAAGAAAAAATGCCTCTGAGCTGAGAGGGAACTTGTGATTTATATATACTGGAATAACAACCCTTAGATTTCCTACAGACTTTTCCTGATCTTGGCTATTATTATTTAAATTTGGGATATATGAAGATATTTTTCCAAATATTAGTCTTATGATTCTTACACAAATAGAATCTTGCTTCTGTATACAAATGTAGATTCAGCTGTTACCTCCCTACCACTGTTTGTGGTGGTTTATCAGAACAGATCTTGAAAAATTACCATTATTTAAAATATATATAAATATATATACATAAATAAGCCACCTAACTAATAACAAATTGATCTTGCAGCAGCAGCATCAAGCTAATACTATCACACAGAGGTTTGCTGAATGCTAACAGATTCTCATGTATTATACATATTTCTGCTTATGTCTAAATCATGGAGGCTGAATGACTAAATTCACCAGCCTTCAAGAGAAAATTTTATTTTTGATTCCAGTTTCACGCACATATACTCACGAGTTTAAAATATGATGAAATTTTAGAAAAAAGAAAGCTAAACTGGATATCAAAAAACTTAGACCATAGTCAAAATTCTAGCAGTAAGTAGCTTTCTAACCCAAAGACATTTAAAAAGCTTTTATTTAATAATTTCATTGGAAAATTTGAGGAAATTAAACTACATTATCTCTAGGATTTCAGTCAGTTATGAAAACATATTATCTATTTGACTAATAATTTGTGATGTTATTTCTACCTAATTCAGAAATGATCAAGCAATTAAGAAGGAATTATTGTCTGCAAATACATGTTTTCTCCCTTCTCACACCCTTCAGTGTCCCAAACAATTTATTTTGTACTATAAATAACATTATAACAAGGATGTGTTGATTTCATAGTTCAAGTAATTAAAAAATCAGCCAGAAGTTATTGATTTGAAATTGTACATGGAGTAGATAAAAAAAAAAAAAAATTGCTAAGGTCAGGAATATCCTTTAAATGTTTTAAAATAATTGTAACGTGTTTCTTTAAAAGGTCATGGCTGTTTTATTGCAACTAGAATGGATGTTAGCCATCCTCTTTATTGTCCTGATCGGTAAAATTAAAATAAAGGTAATTTAATTAAAATGATTGAGAGTTATCTTGAAAGTGGAGAGCATAAAGAATGGACATATAATATTAATATATTTTGTGTTTTTAAAAGCACATTTCCAATTTCGTAGGCAATTATTTTAAAATAACAAAAAAGCACAGTGCATAATTAAAAGAAAAGAAATGGCTTTTGTAGACATAATTGCTTTGCATTTTAGACCTTTCTTACTAGCTCTGATTTACTCTGTTTTGTGTCTTTCAGGTATGACTATGAAGTTAAAGTA